CACCATAATGCCGTCTCCATCTAATCACCCAATACCATCAACCACAGGTCAGAGCCTTTCAGAGAGCAAATGTTCAAATCGGAATCTTGAACGTCATACATAATGATGAAGTCACTCTGACGGTGAGTTTATAACGTGTCCCATGCCATTCGGTAATATCTACCGTGGATCTGTTGGCGTGAATAGCTTTCGTCTTTTCTCAAATCACACCAGTAATATTTGAAAGGGTCGGGTTCGTATGCAAGATTTAACTTCGCTTCATCACTAAAGGCATTGAATTGTTCTTTACCCAACCACACCCTCAGTTTCAGCTCGCATTACTTGTGTATCCATTCAAATAATTGTGCTCAATTTCGCTCCTGGACCAGTCCCCTGGAGTTTGTTTTATGCTTTAAAATGAAACACCGAATCCAAAAGAGCAACTGCACTTCAGANCACTTCAGAGGAACACCATCTGAAACCGAAAGCTAGACGTATCAACTTGCGTCCGCTTGTTATCCCAAAAACTTCATCCTTTTCGCTATACTCGCTTTTCAAACACAGCAACACAGCAGGTCTTGACTCGTTTGGGTTTCATGTACACCGCACAATAGTTGGCAAAACGCTGGAATTCACTTTCACTCAGCACATCAGTGTATCTCTCCCAATGGTTCATAAAAGCAGTCCACGTGGCACGGTTGATTTGGACCAAGCTGGTCAGGGACATGGGAATTATCTGTGTGGCCAATATATCTGAACGGGGTTCAAATTAAAAGTTTGACCAATTTACCGTGTCATCGTCCTATCACGGGCTTGCTTAGAGGTTCAAAATCGAATGCAGCAAGGATGCGCTGAGAATCTGCGATAACTGAGTCGCGGTTGTTGAGCGGAATAGCTGCTCCACACTTTTCCGTCTCACTGTATCAGAACCCGATTCGGGTGGATTATTTTAATTTCCTCCGAGAATATTCTACATTTTTGCTCAAATTTTCTCTTTAGTGAAATCTAACAAATTTAAATTTGGTATTTAGGCTCTTTTATTTCACTTCTGTATTAATGCCCCGGAATGGCTTACTCAGAAGTGGTGATTGCACGAAAACATAGAGATGCAACAATTTTGTCGCAGTTCGTAGATACATATCGTAAAAAGATTTGCATGAATTAATTGAATTTCAAATTCAAGATATCTCGGGAGCAGCACGATTGCGTGGTGCCATCGAACTCGATTTTGCGAGCACTTATTTTAAACGGAAAATTAAGCAATATTTTCCAACAAAAATACCACTTTTATATCTAACAAGAAGAAGATTCTGATGTCCCAATATCACAATAAACTTTGCCAGTATCAATTTGAAATATCTCTGTATCAATTCGGATTCCGCGTACTACCAGAATATCGTAAACTGACGCAAAGACATGCTAAATTAACAACACAAAGTTTCCAAGGAAGTAACAATTTGCACAATATGATACACATGTACATTTTCGCAACATGGAAGTTAATAGAAAGTTCATTGATTTGCACCCAATTGCTTACCCATTAGAAGTAAGTAGCTTTTTAAATTATCTGGCTAACAAAAATATTATATATTGTTTCTTGTACTCATGCGAATAAATGACCCGTGGCTGATATCAGAAAATGAATCATGAATTTGCAAAACATTGCATATGAGCATAACCTTTAGGTCATGACTACACCCTTTGTCATGAAAAGAATTGTTTTCTCTAGAAGAAATTTGTTTGCAGCAATGCGATCGACTAGTCAACCTAGATAGCTCACAGTCCTTGTGTAATTACATTCTGCATGATGTGGACCACAGCACGGTAGTGACGTGTTATTCATTCCAAAGCATGGCACTTCTGTGTATGCGTGTGTGCTATGTGCGTCAGTTAGAACAAATAATCACACCATGTCACTGACTCAGTACACGCTCATATACACTCGCACTCACACGCGCCGCAACTTCAAGTTGAACTGCATGAGTCAATTTGAATTCACATGTGCACGTGACTTCCAGCACCGTAGCAAAGTTGACCAATTGCATTGATATACTTTGGTGTCTAATCTAACACCTACCTGTAGATGTGCCTTACTCAAATGTGCTTTTGTAATACGGAATTGTTTTTTTAAATAGAAGGACAGCAGGTTGCAGACTTGAGCCAGGAAGACTACAGATTAGGTTAATTTTCATTGAGTCCAATATATCAGTTTTACTTTTGAACCATTTTCACAACGGTCCAGATGCTTGTTCACAGTGATCTTCCGTTATTTGTTAACGAAATTTCCCCTCAAACAATTTTTCTGTTCAGTAACAGCATCCAAGTTTAGTTCACGTAGAAAAAGCTCAAATGCTCGTATGTTACATTCTGAATGAGGACAAACCGCAAAGCTAAACTTTGCACTAACCCGCAGATAAGTAGATTTTCCTCTCGTCAAATCGTTGACTACCACTTCAGGCGAATCTGGATTCGGTGATTTCGATTTGGCCTTTTTGGCTTCTTTAGCGTGCTCGACCCCGGATTTGATGGCTTCATCTAATTCTTCGTGTGTTATAAAGGCATCTTGATCCAATGGAATTGAACAAAGCCACGAGAATATTGCTCGCACTTTTTCCTCATCCGTATTAAAATTCCTTTGACCAATCAAAGCCCAGTAGAGGTCAGGCCACGTGGCTGGTCTGGCTTCACCTTGAGCCAATTCACGTGACGCCTGGTCCACTGGTTGGGGATTATATATGTTGTCCCCGGCTGCCGTATCCATTTTACGCAAATGACCAAACGTGTTCTTGTCCAACGGTGGCTTGACTGACTCAGCTGTTGTAGTCGCGATTGGGGCCAATGGAGTCGGAATTTGCGCATTGCTTGGTGCCGGTTTCAAAATAACCAGTGGGACTTTCCGCCTCACGGCCTCCGGTGGTGCTTTTGTCTGAACATGGTTGACTGCTGTTGGTACCGCTTCATTTACTGCCGGTGCCTCTGTGGAACAAAATAGAATTGAGAGAGGGAAGGAGGGAGGCAGGTCGATTATTTGATGTGGTCATTTAAACAGGTTGATAAGAAATTGTCACACATGTGATATTCCTCTCATAAAAGATGGTGTTTTGATATTTAGCAGAATAAGATTTGTTAAATGGAAGAAATGGATTCTGTGATATTATAGTTTTCTGTTGTTTGTTGAAATGATTCACTGTATCCCGTTTAACCCTAGTTTCATGCTAGATCTTAAACGGGGTAAGTTATTTCGCAAATGACGCAGTCCTAATGATTTTATGAAATTTTGTGCTGAAAATTTCAGTTTTGTCAAGTGATTACGGTTGCTTGCTAGCTGCGTGGTTGTCGATTTTCTTTTATCCTTCAATCCAAGTGTCATCGGGAAATCGAGTGACAATTCATTATTCATTCTTAATCGATTTTTTTCAATTGCATGATCGAATGCATTTAACAAGTGCTGCTGCACAACGATTGAAGTTCAAAGCGTAAAGTGAATCGCATTGAGGGATTTTATTATTGGAACACTTTATAGAGTTGAATGTAGCAGTAAGTTGTAGGTGCACATACCCGAGGTAAGAGGACACATCATCAGTTTACAATACAATATAGGTTATTTATTCCATTTCGCCTGTTCGCCGAGTTTGGAAATTTGTTTGCAAACGTTCCATAACCAGCCAAGGTAGGATCATCAATGCCTGTGAAGTTGTAATCTCGACTGATTATGAAACGTTTGCAAACAAATTAACAAGCTCGACGATCAAGCGAAATGGAATTCAGTTCCCCCGAGCTACGTGAACCAATTTTCAATAATATTTCTTGATGCCAACATGGATTATTAACAGAAACGTCTCACCAAATTTAGCAAATACCCTCAAAGAAAACGTCATTCATTTACTTCTCGTGCAATTTTGAGATTAATTTCAATCTTTAATTTTAATTTTAATTTTAATGGTGGGAAGAAAGGGACATGTGTATGCAGCTTGGATCGGGATGAAAATCATGATAATGACATCAAGTCAATAGTGTATCCCGTCTAATGAACTGTTTCATTGTGCTCCCCGCACGAGGCTCCAAGCACACACAACAGCTAATGGTTAACGTAATTTGTGTCTACCTGATGGTAAAGCGTCTAGGAACAACTATGTGCCAGAACCGTTAAGTTCTTCTCAATCACATTCTGGACATTTATGAATGCGCACTAGCTTTTGATCGATTCATCTTGCTTGTGTCGCCTGGTCGAGGCTAGGTTAGTTGCCATAGTAACATTTACTGCTGTCTACAAGCAAGTAAATGTTGAAGTGCTGAACACGTCCCGCAGAGACCAAGTTTATATTTAAGTTATATTTTTCTAATTTTATTACTTTCTCCAACATCACAAAACTTTTGTATGACAGAAAAGCGAATGACTTGAGTGCTTTGAATATCGTTTCTATCAGTTTTTGATGCATCATTGATTACTTTTCTAATGTTTCACCGATAGCACTCATTTTATATTTATTTATGAAACCGTTGAGGAAACTGAATAAAATATGATAGTTACAAGTGGTATTATGCTTTTTTCATCAGATCGCATGAAAGCGACACATTGGTTGATCTACCACATCTTACAACATTTCTGCCATCCGTAATTAGTTAGTTGTTCAGTGGTAAACCTTGCAGCAATATTGCAAAAAATGTCAATCAATCAATCTATCTATCTACCTATCTATCTATCTATCTATATGTCTTTCTGTCTGTTTGTTTATCTATCATTCGGTGGATCAATCTTTCTTTTTTTTCATCTATTTTCCTATCTATCTGTCTGTATACACAAATATATATATGTATTTATGAAAAAAACAGTATTTCGTTAACCACCACGTTTTGAACATGTGGTCGCAAATATTCGGACGTTGTCAAGCTGGGTTTTGCCGCATTACAACTGCCTATTGCCAATGCTCCTCGAGGATACTCATTCGTTTATGAAGCTGAATAATAACTGACTTTATGTTGAGTCATGTGGACAATATGGACATTGTGAATAACAATGATAATCCGATTGGATGTACCTAAGCGGTAAACAGTTGGTGAATTTGATTCAGTGATGTACGCGTACAAATACGAGTGCCCCAGAGTGGACGTCGGCCAACAATTTCACTTAGTGTTTCTAACCGTATCTTAGGAACTTTCTAAGACAACAATTGAGCTATTTTTACACCAATTTTCTTTTGATTGTAAATTGGCTGCCGCTGTTGGTAACCTCTAGCTCTCTTCCCTTATGTTGAAGTTGTTTATCTGGAGAGAGAGAGACGGACAGTATGTGTCCCAATCGTTCTCTTCCTCTATGGAATTGGAGTACCCAATTCTACCCCTATCCTCAACTTTTCCCCCATCTTGGTATCACTATTACACAGTCCATAAGATTGACTAAAAAGCTGCATGAAACTAAGGGAAATAAGGAAAGAGTGTTTACTCAAACGCTGCACAGTTATCTTATATTCATTTCAGAGTAGCCACTACCCAAAACCCCATAATAACAGAGTTTCCGATCCTCGGTGGTTTGTGTCTGTTTTTACGTTATTCATCGCGCAATTGCACCACGAAACAAAATGCAGTGAGAATCTTTAAATAGAAAACGAGTCCTTTTTGTTCAGGAAATGAGCAACCGTTTCTTTAAAAGATGTATAACAAATTAAAATCAACATTTAGTCCTCAATCATGGGAACCTAAATGGTAGCACATGGACATCAAAGACTGAAAGGGAAATCGTCATGTAAAACTAAGGTTAACTTTATCCGACATTTGTAAAACTTTGTGCGATATCCCTAAAACTTCGGAACATATTTAAATGCAAAAAATGAGTTATCTTAAGTCATTTACTTTTAGGATGACAGCGTTTGGGGTGCACAGGCGTGTATACATTTCTATGTTGATAGGATCTCTCTTGGACAATGTTGATGGAGCGATTCTTCCAATCTCACGGAGGAATTTGATAGCATGCATTCTATATCATGATTGACACTTATTCATCCTGCGGGGTTACCGATCTTCCTATACAGTCCAGAAGTTTGATGCATAAACCTAACCAGATGAATGCAAAGTTGTGAATGTGCTTCAATTAACTCAACCACTCTCACAGCATGTTTTTGATTGTTACTGAACATCAGTTTCACCCTTCCAGTTTGCAATAGTTATTCATCTCAGCGTTTTTTGACGTTCTCTGGACAATCACATTTGAACGGTCATTTCGTGGGGCATAACGTTTTCATCTGTGGACCTATGAACGTGCTATCGCTTTTCATTGCCGTCCAAAACATATCGTGCTCAGTGACCATTTCCACTGACTCTGTCTTCTATTTGGGCTAGTTCAACTCGGGACCCGGCAATTGGAAACTTTTTTCCTGTCCCTTTTGCCGCGAACATTTTGAGTGTGTGGTTTGGGAAGAGGGAGATGGGAACGAATCATGAGNTGTGCTTTCCGTTCATCTGTCCGGGGATTGAAACACCTCACCTCACCTCTGACTGACTGAACGGAAATTGAGATTTGGATCGTGGAAATCGGTGTAAGCGGTTGCTAAATCATTTGTGCTCCTTGGTCATGCACATTTCTGGGTGGGTTTTTCGAAGCAGAAATCTGATCTAAGTGAAAGCGAAGCAGTAGTGAATCGTGTGTGTGGTTGTGCGTGTATATGGAAACAGTGAGTGTTGCGCAGTTTCGCTAGTTCGTGTTACGCCTATGCACCGTCTAATGTGTCGATCAGCACTTTCGAAACTTTCCAATTGTTTTTCAATCAAATCGTATAGATTCTACCAGTCGATTTTATGACTTTCCTAAAATCAATTAAGCACCTACTCAGTCAGAGTGTGAATTATTTTGAAGTTAGTTTGTAAGGAACGTATTGCTCAAGTCTACGACAATTCTGGACTCAGGTAATTAGCGTAACAAATAAACACGTTTCTCTGCCATTTTTTGATCTGTGAATACGTTTCAAGGGCACATATGTACTGAGATCAAACAGCGATCACACGCAATCCAACGGTTAGAAGTACACGGCCCCAAGGTCGAGAATGTAACGCGTTATGGACTGCGGATAAGATGGCATGCTTGACAATTTTTATCATATCCGGATCAATACCTTTCTGATTTCCAGTTGTAGTTTCTTTTCCAAAGGTATGCTTCTAATTATTGTATTTTATTGTCATGACGTACGAAGAAATCTGTGCTTAAAATTCATACCACGTGTGTTTGTTTTCTCAATGGGAACAGGCGTGAAGGGAATGTTCAAGGTATCTATACACCAAGGACTGAACGGCTATTGAATGACATCATATTTACAGGTTTCCATTGAGTTAGTGCAGTAAATTTGTTAATTTGTCAATTAAATTCCGAAACAAACCGGGGTACTTTGAAATTATAATAAAATACACTGAATAGACTGAGAGTGCAAACATTACCAAACAACTCCAAAAAAAATAACCATCAATACTGCTGGCAATAAAACCTGAGTAGGAAAAAAATAAGATCCATCTGAAATAGAATTCCATTAAGCCCCCTGCAGGTGAGTTCAATTGCCACACGGCTGATGTCCAACAACCGTTTTCTGTGTTTCGACGTACGCAACTCCACAACGGCTTACGCGCAGCCAGCTGACCAGCTGAAGGTGGTTTGAACACAGAACCGAATGGTACTCTAATTGGGACTGTCCGGATGACGTAACACAATAATTGATTACTCATCCACTTCCATACACACACACACGCATCTCTCCAACTTCTACAAATCAGTTATCTTTTTTCAACCATGAATGGATTAACCGCTTATGCATGGATGCATTCATTTTGTATCTTAGAATACTCTTTCCAATTCATTTTATGCACCCAGTATCTTGCGTTATGTCATTAATTTATACATTTGTGTAATGATTTCTGATCCCACATTATTATGCAATGGTTTTCGTCGAGAATCATGTAACCTATTCATGTAAATCCCTTTTTCCTTTGTCCGGAAATAACTGCAGTGATGTGATCATATAGCTGCACATACTTATGCTACAAGGTTATTCTTGAAACAAAACCTACAACCAGTTTCGAGGCTAGATGAGCAGTAATGATTTGCACGCAAACCTTTCAAACGTGTGCAAGCCTAATGCATCCTGGTTACAGGGTTTTGTTTTAAAGTTACAAAGTGAAGTGTTTTTTTCGTGCCAGGAGTTGTATGAGAGGTAAAAGCCGCATAACACACCAGCTGTATTGAACACTACATTACAAACAGCACTGCACAAAAAAGGTACTCCCCTTTGACCAAACCACCAGATGTAATCCCTAAACTATCAGTGAGGATGTTGGCTGTTTTGTAAGATCAGTTCCTAATTAACAATGCCAACTAAATATAGATTTAGGAATTAGAGGTTTTCCTTTTGTCGAGATAAAGAAGTTTAGAAAATTAATATTCTAACGAACTGGAACTTATGCTCTAGCAAACAGATCTCGTTAACCAAACATGCTCCGAATATTGGAAATACTTCCCATTTTTTGTCCAGTACGAAAACGAGTGGCAGTGAATCGAAAAATCAATAACTATGACACTGTAAAATGACAATCCTCCCAAGG